CAGAGTAAAGCTTTTCATTGCCCCGACCAGCTCATAACATTTAATCACAACAGAGTAAAGATTTTAATTGCCCCGGCCAGCTCATAACATTTAATCACAACGGAGTAAAGCTTTTAATTGCCCGGCCAGCTCATAACATTTATTCACAACAGAGTAAAGCTTTTAATTGCCCCGGCCAGCTCATAACATTTATTCACAACAGAGTAAAGCTTTTAATTGCCCCGGTCAGCTCATAACATTTAATCACAACAGAGTAAAGCTTTTAATTGCCCCGGCCAGCTCATAACATTTAATCACAACAGAGTAAAGCTTTTAATTGCCCCGGCCAGCTCATAACATTTATTCACAACAGAGTAAAGCTTTTAATTCCCCCGGCCAGCTCATAACATTTAATCACAACAGAGTAAAGATTTTAATTGCCCCGGCCAGCTCATAACATTTAATCACAACAGAGTAAAGCTTTTAATTGCCCCGGCCAGCTCATAACATTTATTCACAACAGAGTAAAGCTTTTAATTGCCCCGGCCAGCTCATAACATTTATTCACAACAGAGTAAAGCTTTTAATTGCCCCGGTCAGCTCATAACATTTAATCACAACAGAGTAAAGCTTTTAATTGCCCCGGCCAGCTCATAACATTTAATCACAACAGAGTAAAGCTTTTAATTGCCCCGGCCAGCTCATAACATTTAATCACAACCGAGTAAAGCTTTTCATTGCCCCGGCCAGCTCATAACATTTAATCACAACAGAGTAAAGCTTTTAATTGCCCCGGCCAGCTCATAACATTTAATCACAACAGAGTAAAGCTTTTAATTGCCCCGGCCAGCTCATAACATTTAATCACAACAGAGTAAAGCTTTTCATTGCCCCGGCCAGCTCATAACATTTAATCACAACAGAGTAAAGCTTTTAATTGCCCAGCCAGCTCATAACATTTAATCACAACAGAGTAAAGCTTTTAATTCCCCCGGCCAGCTCATAACATTTAATCACAACGGAGTAAAGCTTTTAATTGCCCGGCCAGCTCATAACATTTAATCACAACAGAGTAAAGCTTTTAATTGCCCGGCCAGCTCAAAACATTTAAACACAACGGAGTAAAGCTTTTTATGTAAATTGTTTATTGATGCCGTCGCCCAACTGTGTGTTTTTTGACCACATTGCTGTTTAGATCTAGTTGTGTTCTGACAGGAAGAATGTCTCTGTATCACCACAATGACTTCCTGCTGTCACACGTACAACGTAACCTTCTGGCCTTAAAGATCTGATAATGGCCGTATGGCTGGTGCAGGGCTGGTGCAGTGTGCAGTGTGCACATCCATTCATATTTGATATGGCCTACTTTCTGAATCATGTACTTGTGAAAATAATGGAAATCAAAGACTCCACAAAGCCTTTATTGGCAGCTTGTTTGAAGTGTGACATTTTTGCTCCAGGCCGAATAAATAAATGTAACTCGTATTGTGTATTTTTGTACCTCAATTATTTTCTAAACACAACCAATCGATGATTGTTCCCATATTCTAAATGTGTTTCAAAATATAGTCTAGGATTTTTGTCCGTTGATGCCCAAAAGACAAAAATATAAATATGTATACATGGCTTTTGAAGATTTTACATGGAGTTTATTTTGCTCTCCAGGCTCAGGTGTATGGTCAAGCAGCTGGAGGAGAAAGATGTAGACTTTGAAGAACTGCGGAAGAACTTGGACCACACAGTGACTTTGCTAGAGGCCGTCTACATTGACGGGGCCAGGTACGACGACAGGAAGTAGTAAAACAAAACTCCATGATACTGTGTCCTATTGACGACCTGGCACCACACAAACACAGACATACAAAGGCACACAACCACAGACACAGAGAAACACTCAATCTCCACACACACACATTGACACACACACACACATACCCTGCCTGGTTATTCCCATGCACCCTGCTGGCATGCCTCTAAAGGTTGCTTCTGGCTATCTTCCGATGAGAGGGGTCAGTAGTGGGTCAGCCCTAACTCCTATGCCAACGTCCCAGGGCAGTCACGGGGACACTGCTCTGCATAGGGTGCCATCCTCTGGATGGGATATGAAACAGACTTCCTGACTCTGTGAACCCGCGGCACCGATCCTGTGTTTTAAACCCCGGACTCATTGTTCCTGACCTGGTTGATTCCCGACGTGCAGTGAATCGAAGCACAGGACATTAGTCAGCTATGATATCATGACATGCCTTCTCCATTGCCTGGGGGCGGGGGAGGGGGAGGGGGGCACGCTCACACGGGGGGGGTGTCATTAACCATCAGTCTCCATGGTGAACACAAAACCAATACACAAATACTGTGAGGGTTGGGGAAACGAGAGCATGTGGGTCAGGACGAATAATCCGGTTCCTCGCTCTACACAGAAACTCTAACTTCTAACAACACACCGCCACAACCTAATGCTAAAACTCACAAAATGTTCTCACTTCTACTAATGAGAACTGGCGAGGACTTGTGGTCTTCGTTTGTAGTACGCTGGCAGCCCACACTCGACACGTGACCTCGGTTTCGCGTCAATGTCTGTCAGTCACGGGAACACGTCTTTTTCTGACCTATTTTTTTCGGTTACGTGCTATTGAGTGTTAAATACACAAATCACTGAGCGGTTAACAGTTTAGGCATTATGTCAACTAAGATGTGGTTTTATCTTGTCTGGAGTTGTCACTGAGTAGAGCAAACGGATGTCTATTGGTTGATCACTTTGCAGATCTCATTCGGGGTGGTATTTAGATTTTTTTGGGTTAGTGCAAAATAGGTCACAATTCAACATTCAATGGACCTGAAAGAACATGTATATTTCAGTGTAGGTTATGAATACACACACACACACAAATACACACATACACACACACACACACACACATAGCCAGAACACTTCTCATTATCAGATATTTTGACCGGCCCATCTTCTCTACCACGTTTTCTTTCGGTGTGGTCGTATAATTGATATTGATTGTTAATCCGAGCCGTACGGTTTCCAAAAGCGAGCCTACATTCAGATGACCCCAAAGCACCCCTCTAGATGCTCTAATGCCAAGATTATGTGATCAATTAAAATGTTTTATCAAATACAGAATCAATACTAACAAACCGGGCAACTGTACATTATCAATCAGCATTGTTTCACTGCCCCCTTTTGGACAACTGCGATATAGCATGTGACCAACTAGTTATTTTGACTGAAACGTTTGGGCCCAATCATGTGATTCAGTAAATGCTGTATATCTTGTCCAATTTTGATGCAGATATTGTGTGGCATACCGAGAATTATATACCTGAGAATGTAGGAAATGTGAATCACCTAGAAGGTCACCAGATATGAGCATGTTTTCCTAACAGAAATTGCGTGTGCCCGTTATGAATGCCTTTGCTTACGTCGAGTCACCACAGCGTGTTCAGTATGTGCGCCAAATATATGAATATAACAGAGTTCTGAGTTATATGGGTTCATATTATTATTATTAATCCTCTGACTCGTTGACTCTCTGGCTCTCTGGCTCTCTGACTCTCTGACTCTCTGACTCTCTGGCTCTCTGACTCTCTGACTCTCTGACTCTCTGGCTCTCTGACTCTCTGACTCTTTGACTCTCTGGCTCTCTGACTCTTTGACTCTTTGACTCTTTGATTCTTTGACTGTTTGACTGTTTGACTCTCTGACTCTTTGACTCTTTGACTCTTTGACTCTTTGACTCTTTGACTCTTTGACTCTTTGACTCTCTGACTTTCAGACAGGGTTTAGACGTGGACGACGACCTGCAGAAGCTTCACACGGATGGCGTTCCCACGGAGGTTACCGATTGGCTGGCTTCGACATTCACTCAGAAGGCCCGACGCCCCGCCCGTCGATCCGACGACAAACCCAAGTTTCGCAGCATCGTACACGCAGTGCAGGCTGGGATATTTGTAGAAAGGTAAACAGAGAACTAAAGGTTGTATTTATGGATGAGACCGGTTCTAAAAGTGTCATGGATCTGGCTTTTTGTCCCGTGAGCAATTTATTAAGCTAAATGGGAGGTAAAAAATACATTTTGTTTTAAAAAAGTTTAGACTATATATTTCAGTCAGACCTGAATCAAAAATCATGGTTTTCCCAACCAATGAGAATTTGTTCATTTATTTAACTGTTGCAAAAAACGACTCAGTCTCAAGATCTCTGCAAAATGTTCACTTAAATAAATATGAAACATTATTTATTAATTTGCTGTATTTATGGGACTTCGGCTTATCAGCACTAAAGGGTTAATGGATCAAATCCCAGAACCAATTAAGAGGATCATTGACCTAGCTGTAAAAAAGCTGTAAAAAAGTGACACGAAGGAATTTGAATGAATGATCTGGGTATGAAAAATCTTTGATCAGTGGGACATTCATGAATAATTTACATCAAACCAGTTTTGTGGACATTTTGATAGCAGCTTTGATAGACTATACGTAAAGACACTCTACAGTACTCAAAGTCCTATACAACCTTCGTGCAAAATGTGAGAGGCACCGGACAAATTGGAGTGTTTCTTAGTCTCAGCATTCCAATGGTTCTGTGAGTCTCAATCAAGAACAGACATGGAAATATTTATAACTGAACTGTTGATCTGAAACTTTGCGATCTGCCCTGTTTCACAAGCACAGCTGTAGCTCAACCCACTGTGTGTAATGTACCTCAGATACACAGAGCAGGTTTCCCAGACGCAGAGTTGTCCTTAACTAAAAAATCCAAGCCCAAAGGAGAAAAGCTTGATATTTCAGACAAGTACTTACGCTAAATCTGTGTCTGCAAAACTGTCCCAGAGTGTTAAAACTCTGAATGAACTCCACCAGAAGAATGTGTTGGTGAGAACGACACAGAATAACAATGGACGTTCTGTCATATTTGGATCAATTCCTATCGACTGACCCGGGGAAATCAGATTTTGGTGGTGGGTGACAGAAACGATGTCCAGTGATTCATTAAAAAGTCAGTCACTATTGACTCCTTAGCTCAGTCTGTTGAGCAGTGTGCTTCTCAAGCCAGTGGTTGTCGGTTTGAGTCCCACAGGGCTCTGTATAAGGTCCGTTTTCCGTGCGAAATCATATATGTTTTAATTGCAGGGGACTACTTTATTGAATTAATTTGTACTCTAAAATTAAACTGTAGAACGTGTTGCTTTTGGAGACAGAGGAATAGTCGGAGTGGAACTGGCTTTAATTGCGTCTATATGTTGTGTATGTTCGTGTAGTGGGTGAAATGTGCATCATTGAGAGTTTGAGTGTAACGCTGACATGTGTTGCTTTTCCAGGATGTTTAGGAGAGCTTACACAGCTGTAATGCCCAACCAACCTGCAGAAGTGGTGAACTGTCTACGGGTGAGGACCTGCGCCGTCACAACCCCACACTGTCTTTATTCCCATTTGCTTTTTATGTTAGAAATCTGTGTCTTTAATTAGCTTCACGGCATTGGAATATTTTTACTTGATGAGGGAACACATGTATCCATAACTGCTTACTTAACATGTAAACCACGCTATGAGTTTTTTCGCAGACTAGTTTATTTTTAATGGAACCATTGAAAAACTATACACGCATCGAAATTGAAATTTTCTGAATCATGAGTTTTCTATGAGTTTTAGGGGAATGCCTTTAATGCTGTGGTATTAATCAGACTCTATAGGTCATATTAGTGTACGTATGGACATATTATTATGCGTATATATCCCCAGGACATTGACAGGTGGAACTTTGATGTGTTCGTCCTCACCACTGTCTCTGACAACCATCCACTGCAGACTATCTTCTTCGAGTTGATCACACGATACGAACTCAACAGCAAATTCAAGGTCTCCACTTTTCTTATGCGCTTTCCGTTGTCATACCGCTCTAGTTCTAAATGACTGTATAACAATTTCAATATCAAATTCACCTACACTTTTCTGACTGCTGAATCGAGCGTACGCGTTTTATTTCTCGGAATATATATTGTTTTGTTTGTATAAGCTTGATTTACAGGTAGAAAATCTAAGTGGTTCACACGTGCACACGTCTTTTTCACTGATGCCGTGTGTTGGCGTGTTGTAATTCCAGATACCCATCTCCTCTCTCTCCTGGTTTCTGGAGAAGCTGGAGAGGGGCTACGGCAAACACAACAACCCGTACCACAGCAGCACCCACGCCGCAGACGTCACCCAGACACTGCACTGTCTCCTGCTACGGACGGGCCTGGTGGTACGCACTCAACGCTGGCCTGGTTACACTGTATATCTGTACTGTATATCATTACTGTATATTATTACTGTATATCATTACTGTCTATCATTAATGTATATCTGTACTGTATATTATAACTGTATATCTGTACTGTATATTATTACTGTATATTATTACTGTATATCTGTACTGTATATTATTACTGTATATCTGTACTGTATATCATTACTGTATATTATTACTGTATATATGTACTGTATATTATTACTGTAAATTATTACTGTATATCTGTACTGTATATTATTACTGTATATCTGTACTGTATATCATTACTGTATATTATTACTGTATATATGTACTGTATATTATTACTGTAAATTATTACTGTATATCTGTACTGTATATTATAACTGTATATTATTACTGTATATCATTACTGTCTATCTGTACTGTCTATCATTAATGTATATCTGTACTGTATATTATAACTGTATATCTGTACTGTATATTATTACTGTATATTATTACTGTATATCTGTACTGTATATTATTACTGTATATCTGTACTGTATATCATTACTGTATATTATTACTGTATATATGTACTGTATATTATTACTGTAAATTATTACTGTATATCTGTACTGTATATTATAACTGTATATCTGTACTGTATATTATTACTGTATATTATTACTGTATATCTGTACTGCATATTATAACTGTATATCTGTACTGTATATTATTACTGTATATTATTACTGTATATCTGTACTGTATATTATTACTGTATATCTGTACTGTATATCATTACTGTATATTATTACTGTATATCATTACTGTATATCATTACTGTATATTATTACTGTATATCATTACTGTATATTATGACTGTGTATCTGTACTGTATATCTGTACTGTATATCTGTACTGTATATTATTACTGCATATCTGTACTGTATATTATTACTGTATATTATTACTGTATATCTGTACTGTATATCATTACTGTCTATCTGTACTGTATATTATTACTGCATATCTGTACTGTATATTATTACTGTATATCTGTACTGTATATTATTACTGTATATTATTACTGTATATCTGTACTGTATATTATTACTGTATATATGTACTGTCTATCATTACTGTATATTATTACTGTTTATCTTACTGTATATCATTACTGTATATCATTACTGTATATCATTACTGTATATTATTACTGTATATCATTACTGTATATCATTACTGTATATTATTACTGTATATCATTACTGTATATCTGTACTGTATATCATTACTGTATATCATTACTGTATATTATTACTGTATATCTGTACTGTATATTATTACTGTATATCTGTACTGTATATTATTACTGTATATCTGTACTGTATATCTGTACTGTATATTATTACTGTATATCTGTACTGTATATTATTACTGTATATTATTACTGTATATCATTACTGTATATTATTACTGTATATCATTACTGTATATTATTACTGTATATCATTACTGTATATCATTACTGTATATTATTACTGTGTATCTGTACTGTATATTATTACTGTATATTATTACTGTATATCTGTACTGTATATCATTACTGTATATCTGTACTGTATATTATTACTGTATATATGTACTGTCTATCATTACTGTATATATGTACTGTCTATCATTACTGTATATATGTACTGTCTATCATTACTGTATATTATTACTGTATATCATTACTGTATATCATTACTGTATATTATTACTGTACATTATGACTGATTATTATTAACTGTTGTGTTGGTCGTCTGTGTAGCACTGGCTGACTGAGCTTGAGGTGTTGGCATCTCTGTTTGCCGCGGCTATCCATGACTACGAGCACACCGGAACCACCAACAACTTCCACATTCACACCAAGTAAGCCGCACTGATATCCACACACACACGCACGCACGCACGCACGCACGCACGCACGCACGCACGCACACACACACACACACACACACACACACACACACACACACACACACACACACAGTAAGACAAAAACCTTTAAAAGCTTACATCTACTTTGGGGCAAAAAAAGTATTTAGTCAACCACCAATTGTGCAAGTTCTCCCACTTAAAAAGATGAGACAAAATGAGAAAAGAAAACACACTTGGTTTCACTCCCTCACGCGACACAACTGGATATCACTCGCTTCGTTCTATGTTTCCATCGTACGACGGAGGTGTTCAGAGATGTCCCATGTTAGAGTGGGTTAGAGTATGATACAAAGAGATGGGCGGTGAGAGAAAACTGAGCAAGAAGAAGAAGCAAATAAAACATTTTCAGGAGTTAAGGATTTCGGCCCCTGGCTACTCTTTCTAAAGCAAACATATCTTATGGCAGTATTTTTAGCTGTGGATTTTCCACATGGACATGGAGGGACTTTAGGACTTGACCTCCTGGCTCATAAGCTCAACTCTTTATTTTAGGAAAGACAACACGCCTGCTGACATCAGCAAGATTGCTTGAACCTTTCTAGTATGTCACAAGTGCACGGGTTTCTCCTATTCAATAATGCCTTATAATGACAGAATTATAGCAATGTAAAGCCAAAATGACGCATTATAACCACAGCATTATAGCATTATAAAGCCAAAATGATGCATCATAACCAATGAGTTATAGCATTATAAAATCAAAATGATGCATTATAACCACAGAAGTTGGCACAGTAACTGCTTTAATATTTTCTCTAAATATTCTCCCTGCTGTTTTCAGTTGTTCCAAGTAAACTGGAACGAAACAACCAGACTAAGACCTCTCCTACAAGCTAAAAAGCCTGGTGCTCCAGAATAGTGCCAAGATAAATCCATTAACTTCATAAAATAGAAACATGACAGAGACAAATATTGTTATAACACAAGACGTGCAGAAACTTAAAGTTAAATCAAACAGTGGTCACTAACAGTGTCTCCAAATCAATAGTTTACAAAGGCGATAAATACATTTGACTTGATGATGGAATGACGGAACACCTAGCCAGCCAATGTGAACTAAAGAAAACCAGAAGAAAGGAATGTTTAATGCTTTTTCAGCCACTTGTTCTAATTGTAAACCGGCCGAGTCTGCTTAGCTTCTCTAAATGGTACTTCTGTAAGGTTTGTTTTCAGTGTGTGTGTTCTATGTTCTCCAGGTCAGACATTGCCATGATCTACAACGACAGGTCGGTCCAGGAGAGCCATCACATCAGTGCTACGTTCCGCCTTCTACAAGATGACCAGTCTAATATCTTTGTCAACCTCTCCAGAGAAGAGTGGATGTAAGAAGACTGTATTTTGTATTGATACAACTTCCTTTTACCTTGATATTAACCAGTACATTTGGTGTACATATGTAATATTTATAAGTAACTGTAGTGTAGGTATTGTGTTTAGTATGTGTAACTGTGTTTGAAATATAGTATTTAGTATTAGTAAATGTGTCCTAGATACAGTATTTAGTATGAGTACCTGTGTCCTAGATACAGTATTTAGTATGAGTACCTATACCTGTAACAGGTGAGTACATGTGAGTACCTGTGTCCTAAATACGGACAGGCGGACCGACAGACAGAAAGACAGGATAAGTCACCTACAGCATGTTACCATAACAACAGAAATCTTACCAGGATGCCTCTGGGATTGTCTTCTGGATTACAGCATGCTGATAGGATCTCCAATCCCATAGAAGTGCCCTACTGGCGCCTCTGGCCACCTAGTGGTTGCTGGGGGTAAAAGTAGTGCACTTTAAAGGGTATATTGTGGTAGTTGGGAGACAACCTAGTGCCTGTCCCTCCTCCCTACTCAGTTTCCCCTCTGGTAACGGCGTGTGTGTGTGTGTGTGTGTGTGTGTGTGTGTGTGTGTGTGTGTGTATTTCAGGGAGCTGAGGGCGCTGGTGATTGAGATGGTGCTGGCTACAGACATGTCATCTCACCTCGTCCAGGTCAAAGCAATGAAGGCTTGTCTACAACAGCCAGAGGGGTACGTACGTTCTGCTCCACACCTCACCCAGGTGACACTATCTGAGATGATCCACACCTCACCCAGGTGACACTATCTGAGATGGTCCACACCTCACCCAGGTGACACTATCTGAGATGATCCACACCTCACCCAGGTGACACTATCTGAGATGATCCACACCTCACCCAGGTGACACTATCTGAGATGATCCACACCTCACCCAGGTGACACTATCTGAGATGGTCCACACCTCACCCAGGTGACACTATCTGAGATGATCCACACCTCACCCAGGTGACACTATCTGAGATGATCCACACCTCACCCAGGTGACACTATCTGAGATGATCCACACCTCACCCAGCTGACACTATCTGAGATGATCCACACCTCACCCAGCTGACACTATCTGAGATGATCCACACCTAACCCAGGGGACACTATCTGAGATGATCCACACCTTAGCTCTGACATGGCAGATAACATGCCTCTTGGATAGCTGCTTTTCTAGTGTTCGTTAGCAACACAGAGACCTTGTTTCAGCTGGGTGTCAGTCATTATAACAGGGTTTATGTGTGGATTTTCTTCTGTGATTAATAGCATAGAGAAGCCCAAAGCGCTGTCCTTTCTCCTGCACACTGCAGACATCAGCCACCCCTCCAAGCCCTGGGCTCTACACTCGCGCTGGACTAAAGCCCTCATGGATGAGTTCTTCAGACAGGTAGGACCGCTTATGGATGAGTTCTTCAGACAGGTAGGACCCCTCATGGATGAGATCTTCAGACAGGTAGGACCCCTTATGGATGAGTTCTTCAGACAGGTAGGACCCCTTATGGATGAGATCTTCAGACAGGTAGGACCCCTTATGGATGAGTTCTTCAGACAGGTAGGACCCCTTATGGAAGAGATCTTCAGACAGGTAGGACCCCTTATGGATGAGATCTTCAGACAGGTAGGACCCCTTATGGATGAGATCTTCAGACAGGTAGGACCCCTTATGGATGAGTTCTTCAGACAGGTAGGACCCCTTATGGATGAGATCTTCAGACAGGTAGGACCCCTTATGGATGAGATCTTCAGACAGGTAGGACCCCTTATGGATGAGATCTTCAGACAGGTAGGACCCCTTATGGATGAGTTCTTGAGACAGGTGTTGTCACTGTGTTGTCACGGTGTTGTCAAGGTGTTGTCATTGTCAAGGTGTTGTCACAGTGTTGTCACGGTGTTGTCACGTTGTTGTCACGTTTTTGTCACGGTGTTGTCACGGTGTTGTCACTGTGTTTTCACGTTGTTTTCACGTTGTTTTCACGTTGTTTTCACAGTGTTGTCACTGTGTTTTCACAGTGTTGTCACGGTGTTGTCATTGTCAAAGTGTTGTCACAGTGTTGTCACAGTGTTGTCACGGTGTTGTCACGGTGTTGTCACAGCGTGTCGATTTTTCACGGTAGACGATTTAAAGCTCTGTCTCCTTATGTTTCTGAGGGCGACAGAGAAGCAGAACTTGGCCTTCCATTCTCTCCACTGTGTGATCGGAACAGCACCCTGGTTGCAGAGTCACAGATAGGTACGACTAAATAATCATTAGGATGACATCACACACCTGACACACCGTTGTACACGGTGTGTGTGTGTGTGTGTGCGAGCATGTGGTGCCCAGGGTACGTGTGCGTTGTCTGGCATTCATGTACAAATACATTGCTGTGTTTAGACTTTATCAGACATCTTCTACAAACGTTTGCAGTTGGATCGTTGTGCATTCTGCTCTCATTACGCACTCACGCAGGCTTCGTGGACTTTATAGTGGACCCAACGTTCTCCCTGTTGACCGACATGGCAGAGAAGATAGTCATTCCCCTGGTTGAAGAGAACCCGGGTCCACCAGACCCGTGCAACCGTCACAGGTGACGTATTGACGCCTTTAACACGCCACGATACACATACGGTCTTTAAAGCAACAGAGTCTATATGAAATCCATTACGTTTGCCAACCAGGCATGCTCTCTATTGTCGGAGTGTTCGTGATGTGCGTTTTGGTCCGTTTGCACTGTTCGTGTACGTTTCGAAAATGTGTGTTTTAAATGCTGCAGCTCGGGGGTCAGGGTTCAGAACAAATTCTTTGTGGGTGTAAACAGACTTGGCGAATAAACCTGATTCTGATGTCCGCCTAATACGAACGGATATTTGTTTGGAATGTTGATTTTTCTGAGATGACAAGCAGCAGACTTTATAAAGGCGTCATATGTGCCAACGACAGGTCTTGTAATGCATTACAACGGGGCTATGAAGCGTTTTACCAGACGGCTGAAGTATCCCTGTATTTTCGTCCTTCCAGTAATTTGTGGAAGGAGAGTTCCCGGGGTCTACAGTGGAGCCTGGCCCACATTACCTCGGAGCTGGTCAGCTTCCGATCCACCTGGACGCGGCACATGGAGGACAACAAGTTCAAATGGAGAGAGAGCAACTCCAACGGTAATATCCGTTTATAAATCACAACCTAAAAGCTTGTCGGTTTAAATCTCTGAGACGCCAGTGAAAAAAGTTTCTGTCTGTGCGTCTTTAAGCAAAGCACTTATTGAGTCCTAATTGCTTCGGCTTTTTGCTATCAAAACGCTGGCTAATTAACGACATGTAAAACGGCTGGTCAGGGTAAAGTAAATCCTCTCAGCCTGAACAGAGCACTCACAGAGCTCATCTGACCGTCATTCAGCCAGTCTATCATCTATCATATATTGATCAATCCAGGGTTAGTTAGATTCATTAACCCCTACCGGTTTCTAGTTTTGTTTCAGCGATTAACGTCTCTCTCTAAGACCTTCAACCAGCCGAAACGTATTCGAAACAACCAAATCCAGACCATTTAAATCATGTGACCGAACAATAACACTGTGTCTATGTGGAGAACGCACAGAGCCACAGTGTAGACATGTGTATTTTATGTTTGACAAATCACTGGGACTTTTTCTTTCCTTTTCAGGGTTCTTGGATCAGATAATGAAGAAGGGTGCTTTGAGTGATAAAACGGAGGAACATTCTAAAGACATAATAACAGAGTAGAGGCTAGTTTAGACACCGTAAATAATAATCATATGACATTTATTTAATGTTGCAGCAACGTGCCGGCCACGTTACCTGCAAATACCCACGTATATATTCGTCCTGTGCGTGTTGCCTCGCTTGTGACTCACACATTGATCAGCCAGGTAGGAAAATATGTGTGAAGATATCCGCACCACAGCACATATACCACGTACAATATAAGCCAAGTTGATGAGGTCAATCGCATTTGGGATGCGATGTGACTGACGGATCAATAAGAGGTGAATACCATACATGATTAGTCGTCACGGGCAACAAGACAAAGGTTTCCGGCCTGCCTTAGCAACGTCCACACCGTCTCAACGTGTATCCGTCCCGGGACTACACAGTTTGAATTAGGAAAATGTCAATCTTTCTGCACCTGTGTGCGGTTGGTCAGTACACAAGACCCGCCTGTGAGTTCATCTGACCAATGGAAAAGCTTTCCCGTAAATACTGCAATGCAGGTTTGATTGAATTGAGCTCAAAGAGTTTCTACGTTTTTATAATATAGCGCTGACAAGATGCCTGTGTTCCATTAATAAACACTCCCGATATAATCTGCCGGACATATTGCATCTGATCTGTTTAATCTTTTGTCTATTTGAATGTTTAAATAATCATAATTTCATTAATAAACTGAACACACTATTTATCAGTACCATCGTACCAACTGTTTTCCAGTAGGAGGAGGTAAAACTGTTTTCCAGTAGGCGATAAAACTGTTGATCCAGTAGGAGGAGGTAAAACTGTTGATCCAGTAGGAGGTAAAACTGTTTTCCAGTAGGAGATAAAACTGTTGATCCAGAAGGAGGTAAAACTGTTGATCCAGTAGGAGGTAAAACTGTTGATCCAGTAGGAGGTAAAACTGTTGATCCAGTAGGAGGTAAAACTGTTGATCCAGTAGGAGGAGGTAAAACTGTTGATCCAGTAGGAGGAGGTAAAACTGTTGATCCAGTAGGAGGTAAAACTGTTTTCCAGTAGGAGATAAAACTGTTGATCCAGAAGGAGGTAAAACTGTTGATCCAGTAGTAGGAGGTAAAACTGTTGATCCAGTAGGAGGTAAAACTGTTGATCCAGTAGGAGGAGGTAAAACTGTTTTCCAGTAGGAGATAAAACTGTTGATCCAGTAGGAGGTAAAACTGTTGATCCAGTAGTAGGAGGTAAAAGTGTTGATCCAGTAGGAGGTAAAACTGTTGATCCAGTAGGAGGTAAAACTGTTGATCCAGTAGGAGGAGGTAAAACTGTTGATCCAGTAGGAGGTAAAACTGTTGATCCAGTAGGAGGTAAAACTGTTGATCCAGTAGGAGGTAAAACTGTTGATCCAGTAGGAGGAGGTAAAACTGTTGATCCAGTAGGAGGTAAAACTGTTGATCCAGAAGGAGGTAAAACTGTTGATCCAGTAAGAGGTAAAACTGTTGATCCAGTAGGAGGTAAAACTGTTGATCCAGTAGGAGGAGGTAAAACTGTTTTCCAGTAGGAGGAGGTAAAACTGCAGGAAGGAAAACACTAAAATAGAGCCCCAATGGTTCTTAAAAATACATTGGAAAAACTGTTCACATGTTTATGAAATATTTACGTTTGTTCTGCATTTGGACCAACATCAACTAAATTATTGATCAGACTCTTCTATTTTTAGGTTCAAACTCACACTATAGTGCAATGATGACGTAGGAGTTTTTAGCTCAGTGTTAGAGTGCAAGTTTAGTATGTATAACGTCCTGGGTTCAAATCCCAGCTTCTCTCTAGGTCACTGTTCCAAGTGAGAAATTGTTCTTAATCGGCCTACCTGGTTAAATAAAACATTTAAAAAATGTTAACCTGAATACAGTTGTTGGATGATAAGGATTATTGTGATTTTGCTGAAAGTAAAACAAACATTGTTTTTCAATGTCAACACTTTATTGTATCAAACAAACAAAAAACGAGGTTTGCGTGTAATCATTATAAAGGCGAACAAATTTTAACCGATATTCTTGTAGTATCTAGATTTTTTTTGGTCCCACTTAAACCAGTTGTACTAAAAAATCTGGTGGTTGGAATCCTGAATGTATTTATTTTTATTTTACTAATTGAAAAAAAATAATAATAATTGGGCCTTCAAGTAAATCTTTTTTGTTTTGCTATGACCAAAACCACTGAAACAGAATGTTATTTAGAAGACATCTTTGATTTGAATGTATTTTTTACATATGGGCTAATTTATGATCACTAGAACCTGACTACAAAGTGTCTTCCCAGCCAAACAACCGGAAGGTTGAGAGTGAAGAAATGCAAGCATCATCAACATCAACATTACAGTTTAACCATGTCTTGAGTCTTTGTTAAAAAGAAGTGTCTCGTTTCCAGACAGCAGAGGGAAAATACATTTGTCAGTTTGTGTTCTGGAGGGGTACGACGGTGAACATTTATATGCCATTTATAAGATATCATTACTCAAGGATCAGTGGGTACACACATCAAGACCAAAAAACGGATGAGGCAAAAGCAGATTGCGGAAGAGGTGACAGAGATATTGGAAAATACATTTCTTTTTTAAAGATAAAATAACGTACATTCCTGGATGTTGTTCCAGTACAAAAAAACATATCATATAAAAACAAATAATCAAATCAAAACTCAGGTTAGAACTACGCAGCATAACCCACAAGACAATATTTACCCCATGTTTATTGTGTCGGTTAAAACATAGAAAGTTTTCTGTCAGACGGACACTTCCATAATCTGATCTGTTGCAGAGGCTTGGGAAACTCAAATGGTCGGTGACTCAAAAGAGGATGTTTTTTTAAGAGTGACATTTCTCTGTCATGGAAGTCGATTAAAACAATCAGATTTTTTTAAACCTGCTGTGCAGTGCTATTTCCGCAACAACCAAATGATCAATATAAAATATGGCATCTACATTACAGTGTCTGTCCATCAAAGCGATGGTCAGTTGTCGGTCTGTCATTGCTTTCTGGATATTAGGGCAGCTTCCGTACGCTGTCCCCCGTCTCATTTAACTGCTCTACTGTTATTGCACACTATTTTCATTGGGCCCTGGTCAAAGTATTGCACTAGGAAAAAAATCATTTGGGACACAAGTGGCAACAAAGGTTATGTTTAAAAATGTGTCTATGGTTCTTATTTCTCCAGGTTGGGTTTCGTAGCCGTTTTCTCCGCCTCTGGTCTCACTGAATGTGCCGGTTCTGTGCCTGCTGATATAAATATTGGATGGTTTCACAAGGAGGAAACATCACAGAGTGCTTGATGCAATTATAGTAGATACAGAAAGTGTTGTGTTTGAACAGTATTCAGTTGAAATGTTCAGATTTTAAAATCAATGTAAGATATTGATTTATGTTAACAGGGCCGTCAGTATGCAATATCTGTTTAGAAATATTTCAGATGACACACGTTGAAAATATTGCAGAATGTCATTATTATGCAAAATGAAGCCATAAAGATGAATCGTTAAACGGATTAAAATAAAAAGTGACTGTGTGAAATCTACAAAATCTCATTAAGAGATGATTTTCAAAAGATTCAGATGGTATGATTCACATGGTGTGATTCACATAGTGATTCAGATGGTATGATTTAGATGGTATGATTCGGATGGTATGATTCACATAGTGATTCAGATGGTATGATTCACATGGTGTGATTCACATGGTATGATTCAGATTATATGATTCAGATCAGATGGTATGATTTAGATGGTATGATTCACATGGTGTGATTCACATGGTATGATTCAGATTATATGATTCAGATCAGATGGTATGATTGCTGTCATATTAATATCACCTGCTTTACTGTGTTGCTGTTGTTGCTGTTGTGTTGATGAAAGCGCTACCATGGGAACGGTGGAACATCCTATTTCCTCTTTAGAGAGGGAACCCTGATGTTCCCCATCAACTTCAAATGGACGGTCCCTGGAAAACTCTGCTGAAAATACAAAACAGGCCAACTTTATTGAATAGTATTACTGTTTTGTGAGACACGTGACAATGGCATTGTTCCACTTCAAATACTTCATTCCCGTGAATTGTTTCTAAAAGAGAAGGTTGATTCTACTGTTAATATTAGGGTTGATTCTAGGGGTATATTGGGAGTTGATTCTAGAGTATATTAGGGTTGATTCTAGGGTATATTAGGCTTGATTCTAGGGTATATTAGGGTTGATACTTGGATATATCAGGGTTGATTCTAGGGCAGATACTGCCAGTGAATTTTTACGCAGGCAAAAGTAGGACAGCATATAATTTAATCATTTATTACAGTTATTTCCCCTTTCTCTTACCTCGTCCCCTTTCTCTCTCTACTCCATCTTCTTCTCCCTAGTCTCTCTCTCTCTCTCTCTCTCTCTCTTCCTCAACATCTCCCTGTTTCTCTCACAGCTTCTCTCCATTTTCCATTTCGTCTCCATTGTCTTTTTCTCTTTTCAATCTCCCTCCTTTTCACTGTCATCCCAATCTCTCTCTGTCTGTTTAACCCCAATCTTTTATTGGCTCCACCTCTCTTACTTTTTCGTCCCTCGCACCCCATATTTAATTCCTCTCCCTATCTCTCTGTTTTCTCTTACCCCACATCTCCCTCTCAAATTCATTTCTTTGTCCATCATTATTTTGTCTTCCACCCCTTCATCCTTACCCTCCATCTGACAGCGGAGTTTCTCAAAGGCTTCTGCGGTGACCTTGTCTCCACCTCCCCAGGCCTCGTCATCCACAGGCAGCTCTTGGTCCTCCTCTCCAGCAGGGAAAGCATCTGGACTGGGTCTGTCAGAGAGGCAGCTCTCTGAGGAGCACTCGTCACCTGAAACGACCCAATGCATTGTGTGTATGCATGAACTGGCACACATGTGATGTATTAGAGCTCATGTAAATATGCATTTGATGGGGAAACGGAACAGGCTGTCTTACCTCCACCCTGCTGTTGACGGTACAGATGGTGCTCCACCATGAACTGTAACTCTGCAGGTTCGGTGGGATGGAGAGAGGGATGGAGAAAGAGAGGGAGAGAGAGGGGGTGGGTGGAGAAAGAGAGAAAGAGGTAGAGGGGGAGAGAAATATATTTTTAGTTGTACAGTTTACTACCATCCATTACAATGTTAGCACAGACGTGAGAATAAATTCCAGTCAAGATGGTTTTTCAACATCAGCTAGCTAAGCCAATGTGCCAAAGCTTGTTGGACATCAGATGTGGACATCAAATTTGACAATCAAATCTGTTGATTTAGGGATTCAGCGACCAAGGACACGACGGCAACTTAATAACAGCCCTTATTACATCCAAATTAGAGTTTGGAGTTGAATACTAAATGATTAAACGTTTAAAGCAGAAAGAAATCTCCCAATAAAAGTTTGCTTGTACATTTGATTTTAAGCCTTCATAAAAACCCACAACAACCCTTCATAGAACCCACTTCAACCCTACACATAAACCATGTCAACCCTGCCTGCATATAACCTACATTAACCCTGCAAATATAACGCACCTCAACCCTGCATATTACTAACGTCAACCCAAAGGACATGTGGTTTTAATAACGCCAGCCAATCCCGCTCCGACACCTCCTAATCCCATGAGTTGGCGTGGTCTGCTGCGTTAAAGCCACGGCCACTCAAACATTAAGTCCGAGAGCCAACGCAAACATATTAGCTAGATGAGGAAACTAATCAGTGCTTTGGTCCATCTCTTCATTAGCTGTAATCGAGCAGCACAGCTGTGGTCCACACATTCATTTTAAAGCAGCATGTGATGAACGAGTCACACCATGGCAACCATGAACCAAATCCCACCCGGCTACAGAATAACTCATCTGATATATCATCATCTTTGTTTCACAGTTTTTACTTTACAGGTTTTATCGCTGTTCCTAAAACTTCTTGCTTTGTTAAACACAATCGATTAGTTGCAATTCGATATAACACATTAGCTTTTATCGATAGGAAACAACCAGGTAACGAAGGCAAACTAAGGCAAAGACAGATATTGTGGAGTAACAGGAGGCTAACAGACAATCCATTGCAGGTCACAAGACGAAATTCATTTTTGAGGGAAAAGCTGCTGTCAGAGTTTCTGAAGACAGATGAGTCGTCTTTTCCGACCATTTACACACACGCCTCTTATTCACCTTGTCGTCGGACAGACTGGAAATAATAACATTAAGAAAAATCTCACCTTACATTTAAAAAGATTACAGGAAGTACATTTCTAAGTTCTCACCTTTCATGGTCGGCGTACCCCGCGGCCCCTTCCTCCTCAGGCTGGGGGAGTTTAGCAGGGCCGCCTGGCAACAGAATACAAAACACTGTTAACCGTTTGGTGCGTTGATACACCGACACAAAGATGTGACTAGATGTGACTGTGTCGCGAGTGGCAGACAAGACAAATAACCCGACAGAGATGACCTGACCTGCAAATGACGTACTCTAGAGAAAATGAATCCAGGTGCTCAGAGAAGTGAGTTTTAACATGCGGGACAGTTTATACCTGTCAACCTGGTGAGAATATTTAATTTTGCAATTCAGTTGTTGATTTCTCCGTTCATAGATTCCGTGTGAGGAACCACATTACCTTGTACAGCTGATTGGGAAGGCGATCCTCGTCTATCTCTGCAGAGGGAAGAATGAAGGACAAAAAATGTAATTGACGTTGAACCCTATTAAATTCCATCGCTGCCAGAGTTACAATGTAGACAAATCTAAATCAATTCAACAGTAGAGATTTTTCATACAGAAACAAGAAGGTTATGGAAG